CATGAGGTGTGTGCGGATGGCGGCGTCGTAGGCGGCGGCGGCGCCCTCCAGGTCGTCCCCAAACACCATGAAGCCCCAGTCCATGCTGCGGCAGGGGCGGCAACATGAGACAGCACGCAGCGCGGCGCCGAGTCGGCCAACCCGATGTGTTGCAGTGGGGCTGCATCAGCTGCCCGATCGCCCTGATGACCAAACGACTCCCACACCCATGTACCCGCCAGCCCACGTGCGCGCGCGCCCCCAAGCATCCCCACCCCACCCCGTTGCCCCCCGCTCACAGAATAAACGCCTTGTGCTCCGGGAAGCGGTACTGCTTGAAGAACACCTGCAGCTGCGTGATGAGCTCCTCCGCGTGCGGCCCCACCATCGACGGCGACACGGGCACGCCCGCGCCCTCGCAGCGGTCGAGCGCGTCGTCGTCGCCCGCCAGGCAGCCAAAAACGACGACGCCGGGCGGGCGCCCCCAGTGGTAGGTGGTGATGGCGGCGGGGGACAGCAGCTGGGCCAGCACGGCGGACTCGCGGGGCAGGTGGGGGCGGCCCTCCTGCAGCTCGTCCTGGGAATGTTGGTGGTTGCCCAATAGGAGGTGCAGGGGGTTCCAGGTGCGGCAGGGTCGTTTGGAGGGGATGTGGGGACCTCGCGGCTGCAGGTGAATGCAGGAGTTGCCATGAAGCGGCCTGGCCTACTGCTTGGTTTCGCTGCCGGTGATCGGCAAGCAGGCAGGCACATGTGGGGTCCATGACAGGCACAGCTGCGTCGGGCGTGGTTGCGGGGGCAGTGGCACCTGGGACGCCGCGACCAGCTCGATGCCGCTGTCGCCGTGTGCAGTCAGCATCACGTGGCGCGGCCCAGCCGCAGCGGCCGCGTCCGGGGCGCGGCCCTCGGAATAGAGGGCGCCCACATAGTAGGGCTGCGCCAGTGCCACGCCGCCCACGATCTGGTGCGATGCGAGGCGCGGCGCATGCGCTTGGCGCACTGTGCAGCGGTCAAGCGACGGCAGCAGGCGGAATAGGGATGCGCGGACACTGCGGCCGCGCGCCCGTCCGTATGCCTCCTGAGTGCTGCAAGCAATTATTACATGCTGATCTGAAACGCTCTTGTCGGCTTTGAATCGCGCAAGACGACGTCAGCACGGCACCAGCTGACCGCTCCACCGTCGCCCACCTTTCCAGACTCCTGCGTGACCACTCCCTGATCCTCCATAGAAATCACCATGCTCGCGATCAGCTGGTGAAGCATGGATGCCGCGGGCTGCTGGTCATGATTGCTGGATCTGCGCGAGCTCGTCGCCGCAGCCTCCATGATTCTCAGATGTGTTTGTATGTATTATCTGACGCAATACGCGAATACTTGATGCTCAGTCTACAGCCGCACGTGCGACACAGGGCTCAAACGAGGGCTGGCAGCTTCGCCTTCCACACACCGCCGCCATAATCATGGCCAAAAGCCAACAAGATGCTGATGTCAAAAGCGAGCATGCTTATCTGCAGGTTCTTATTCGATCTTGCCATGTTTGACCGCGGATGTGATCTGGAAGCACTTTCGTGATGGAGTACTCGCGGCCTTGAGGCTTGCTAGCAACAGAGATTACGATTCATCATGGGGGAGGTGGCGGCGGTTGCTGCGGCACTGGACGCAGCCATCGCCAAGACCGCCGCGGCACTGCCCGACCCGCCCCCGCCGCCCAGCGCGCACGACGCGACGCTCGCCTGCCGCCGCGCCGGCGAGCGCCTGCGCGACGCCGTCGCCTACTACGCGCCCCCGCGCCTGCCCGCGGCGCCGTGGGCCCGCCGCGCGGTCGCGGCGGGCGCGGCGCTGCAGGCGCGGGGGCACCTCGCCCTCGCGGCGAGCGCATGCTTTGCACCGGTCCTCGCCCTCGGCCTCTGCAACGGGACAAGCCCCCCCAAAAGCGCACCAACAGCACAACCAGCTGCAGTCTCAGACCTCGAACTCCACGTGCAAGCGGCCCTGGGCCTGGCTGCCTGCCAAGGCGGCGCCGCCCTCGCGCGCGACCCTCACCTCCGCCACGTCAACACGCTCGCGGCGGCGCTCGCGGCGCTCCGGGACGCGAAGGCCGCGGCGATGACGGCGCTGCCGCACGAGGCGCTGTACCACCTGGCGCATGATGCGGCGGCCGCAATCGCCGGCCTGGCCGAGCCGCTGGCGGCGGCGGGGTTTTGCGGGCAGGCGCTCCAATACGCTGTGTTTGCAGCCAAGGTGCGTAGGGAAGGGGGGGGTCGACGACGGTCGACGCATCCCCGCGCTGGTGACCATCAGCTTGGGGTGCAAACAAAGGCACATGGGGTCGCTGCGACAGATTGTTGACCGGGCTGCAGGGTGAGCGCATGACTCCAGGGGCCAGCTGGCGTGCTGTGGGCGACGATCTGGGTGGAACCATCACAGCGCGAAGCGCCCACAAACGCACTCGCATGTCGGGCTGCTTACTTTGCTCAGCGATCAAACGCGGCGTGGTCAACAGGCCATGGAGGCGCACCTGACGCTGGCGGCGCCACGCTTCCTGCCCTGGCGCGCGCGGCTCTACGCCCTCGCCGCGCGCTGCTACCACGGAGCGCTGTCGGCGGCGGCCGCCTCTCCCGGCGATGCCCCCGGCCCCGACCCCGGCGTCGGCGCCCCGTCGGGCAGCACGCCGGCTCTGCCGCAGCGCCATCAGCAGAATTTGCCGGAGCAGGCGCTCGCGTTCCTAGAGGAGGGGCTCGCCCGCATCGACCACCTGATATCCCTGCACGCGCTCGACCCCGTGCCGCCCGACCCCGCGGCGGCGGCGGCGCTCGCCGCCGCGCGCGGGGAGCTGGCGGCCCTGCGGCCACTGCTGGCGGCCGCGGGGGAGCGGCGGGCGGCGGGGGCCCCGGCGACGGGCCAGGGGACGGGCCCCGCGCAGCAGGGCGCGGCTGGTGGGCCTGCCAGTGCGGCCGCCGTGCGAGAGGCGGTGGGGGCCCTGCCGGACGACATTGCGCGGCTGAGGACGCTTCTTTCTGTGCTGGTGACCGCCTGCAGCGACGGGCCGCCGCTGCGGCGGGAGCCAGGCGGCGTGCCGGCTGCGCTGCAGGCGGTCTTGGATGAGGCACAAGCCCTGGCGGCGCCCGCGCTGGCCGCGTTGTCCGAGCTCGCGCGCACCGAGGGGCCGGCGCGGGCGCTCGGGGGCGGCGAGGCTGCAGCGGCGCCTGAGGCGGGCGGGCCGGCCGAGGAGGCGGTTTTCGATGCGAGGGCTGCCTTGCAGCTGCTTAGGCCCCGCTTGCACCAGGTCCGACATGTCCGCGCCGCTCGATCAGCGTTGTCGTGCCTGCAGGGCGAGCGGCGCGGCACCTGCATCGGAGTTGACCAGTGTTTGACTGGCGCACCCCGCTGGTTTTCCAACCTGCGTGCGAGCCGGGAGAGGTGCAAAAGCGTGCAACCGCTGCTGCCAACCCAGCCTTCCTCTGCTGCTGGCCGTCCTCCCCTTGTGCCTGCAGACGTTCCTGTGCATCGCGCATAGGTTTGACCAGGACCAGCTCTTTGACCGCCTCCTCGCGGCCGCAAAGGGCAGAGCCCTTTCAGGCAGCCTATCATGTGCCGATGCCGTCGCGGCGGGCGCCGCCACTGGAACGACGGGGCGCGGTGGCGGTGGCGGGAAGGCCGGAGAGGAGGACTCAGAGGCGGCGCTGGTGGCGGTGGCGGGCTTGCTGGAGGCTGCGAGGGCGCTCGGGCGGGCACCCGGAGGTGAGGCGTCACCTGGGTGCTGGCCTGTCTCGGTGCAACCCCTGGGTTGACACTTGTCTCTCAACGACCGTAAGCAGTTGCTGCGAGGGGGACATGTTTCGCCGCCCAAAGTCACGCATTATGTTGCGGAGGTGTGATCAAGTGCTTGCCCAACAACTTGCGTTCTCTGCCTGGCGCAGCCCGAGGCGCCGTCGGTGATATGTGCGCCGCCCTGGAGGCCCACGCGTCGGCAGCTGCCTCGCAGCTTCCCGCCCTGGTCGCCGCGGCCGCCCTCGCGCTGCACTCCGCCGCCGACGCGCTGCTGCTGCGCGACGCCTTCTGCCACGCCGACGCGCGCGCGGCCGGCGCGCTGCGCGTGCTGAGCGCGCTGCACGCCGGGTTTGAGGCCGGCGGCGTTGACGATGGTTTGCTGCGGGGCGGCGTCGCGGTGCGGCTGGCGCTGCTGCTGGCGGAGGAGGGGCAGCTGCCAGAGGCCAGGGTAGTCATCAAACAGGTTAGGTGCCTATTCTGATGTGAAGCGATTGAGAAGTAAGATCAGTAAGCTGTCGCTCTCATTGATCGCAGTTGCTTCATAAGAAGCGTGCGGGCAGCAAGCCGCCGCCTGCACCGAGTGCGTGCGTCGGTGCATCGCACGCCTCACGCCTGCGGCACCCTCTGCCTCTCGCCGCAGGGGGTGGACGCGATCGAGGCCGCCCGATGCGAGGCCGCCAGCCAGCTGCGCGGCGCCGCCGACGAGCGTGTGCGGTGGCTCAGCGCGTCGCGCACGCAGCCGACCGCCGCCGCGGCCGCCGCGCTGAGCGGTGGGTCCGGGGGGTTGCGGTGCCGCCCTGGTGCGAGTGCTGTGCAGCCGGCTTCCAGTCGACCCGCGTGCTTCAGCGCGAAAGCGCTTTCTGCCTTGCGAACATTTTCAGTATTTATCCACAGCCAAACAACAACACCGCCACACCAGCGAGCCAGCAGCGCGGCACTCCCCCTCCCCCAAACCCCTACTGCGGACCCGACAGCGCGGCGTCACATCAACTTTGGCGCCTCGTCGCGGCCCTGCCCCCCTCCTCCGCCCGCCGGGTTTTTCCCTGCTGAGAATCCGAGTGCGAGCCGTGCCGTTGCATGCCGCACGCGCGCCCCTCGACGCAGGCATGGGCGCGGCAGAGCAGGAGCTGGCCTGCCTGGACGCTGACGCTCTGCTGCTGCACTACAGGCTGGAGCTCGAGGCCGGCGTCCAAGACGCGGCCGCCAAGGCCGCCGCGCGCCGCGCGGGCGCGCTCGCCGCGACCGCGCGGCGCGACGGGCAGGCGGCGATCTTTGGGGAGCGGACGGCCAAGCAGCGGCGGGAGGACGAGGCGCGGGCCGAGGAGGCCGGCAGGGTGGCGACGAACTCTGCGGTGCGCGTCGGGGGCGGCCGGCGGCTGCGGCGGTCAACCCCGCGCGCCTTGCATTACCAAAGCCCCATGCCTGCATTGCTTGACTGCTGCCTTCCACGGGTCGCAGTCCTGTGTGCCGGCGATTTTAGTGTTACACCTGGCTGGGGCATGCTGAGCCCGAGTGGCGGATGCCAGCACGGCCGTCGCTCGGCAACCGCCAGAGCTGGCATCTGCCAGCCAAGCTGGCCACGCGTCATCCGAACTCGGCGAGGCGCCCTCTGACGTGGCAACTCCGCCCCCCCTTGCCAGACCACAACACCCGCACGTAAATTGCCATGCGGCCCGCATGTTTCAGGCCATGGAGCGGGAGCTGCTGCTGGGCTGCGGAGCCAACCCCTACCAACGCGCCCTGCTGCTGACTCAGATGGCCCCGCTGCAGCCGGACGCCGCCCGACGCGCGGCGGCGCTTGAGGTTTGCGCGCACGCGTGCGCATGGGCGGGCGGCGGCCGGGGGTTTCGCAGCCGGCTTTGGGCGTTTGCAGGCCGGCCAAGCAGCTCGGCTGCAGCGGCCGGCGCCGCTGACTGGTTGTGGCTTGGCCCTTCGGCTGTTCTCGTCCAGCAATCTCTGCCACCTCACACATCACCCTCTGATCAAAGCACGCACAACCTGGTTTAGGGTTGAGCGTTTAGGTTTTATACAATCATGTTTACTACAGTATTCACGGTAGCAGTGCCGCCACTGCTGCGCAGGAGGCCGCCGACCTGCTAGAGGGCGCCCAGGCGGCAGAGGACGCCCTGTTGGCAGCAATGCAGTCCCCTGGCGGCGCCGGCCCGACCACTCCCGCCCCCGGCCCGTTCGCGCCACCCCAGCAGCCGATGCTGCTGCAGCGTGGCCCCTGCTTTGTGGAGTTGTCGCACTTCGCTCTGGCGGGCAGGGGCCTGAGGCGGCCTGCGTCGTATGCGTGCTACTGCAAGCCCAGTGGCGCGGGCGTGGGCCTGAGCATCAACCGCACAGCGATGGAGTTCCCAGGTGGGAGGGATTGGGTTTATCACTTTACATAATTCTATGTGAACAAATAGGAGGGGTACGAGGGCGCGTCATTGCGTAAGCTCGTCAGTTGTGCGCTACTGCCGCTGACGGCGGCATTGCCTGATTGCCGGTGCGTTGGCGGGAAGGGGGGAGAGAGGTGATTGCGGTGAATAGCGTGCCTGGGGTTTGATGATCGCGAGCTTGGCGCTGTGAGCCAAGCGTTGCTAGTTCCAAGTCGGACCTCCGAACCGCAGGCACTGGCGAGCGCGCTGCGGTGGGGGAGCGGCTGCGTATCGAGGGCCTCAAGGGCAACGAGACCTACACATTCGCGCTGGCAGGTGCGCACACGAGCTCGCGGCGCGCGCTTGCGCGCCGGCTGGGCCTCCAGGACCGGGGCGGATGCGTGCTTGAGCGCCCTCGCGGGTGGGGTCAGAGGCGCGTGTGTGGTGGGCGGCGGATGCATGCAGGTGGGAGTGCCAGCTGTATGATCAAACTCTCTTCACGCCTTGTGCGCTTGCAGCACAGCCTGATGAAAGGCAGGAGGCCCCTCAGGTTTATTGACGGTACCGCTGCGTACCGGTGCCACCGGTGGCCCTGCGCACGAGCGCACACGCACACACACACACACACACACACACACACACACACACACACACACGCACGCACGCACACACGCACACGCGCACACACACACATACACACACACACTCTCACACACTCATGCACAGCCTACGACGACAAGGGTGAGCTCATAGGCGAGCTGGGCGCCAGCAGCCCGCCCATCCTCGCCGCCCTGCCGCTGCCCCTCGCCCTCTGCTGGGCGCACCTCCAGCTCGCCGCCGCCCGCCTCGGCTGCCGCGCCGCGGAGCGCCGCGCGGGGGCGCGGCTGGCGCCGCTGTTTGTTTCGCGGGCGCCGGGCAGGCCGGTCTGGGAGGAGCACCCAATGGATGCGCTGCAGCTGCGGCAGGACGTGGCTGCTGCTGCTGCTGCGCCGCTGCTGCGGGCGTTTGTGCAGGCCACCCTCTCCCACGCCGCACGCGGCTCTGGGGAGGGGGACGTGGCCGCCGACGCGAAGGGGGGCGTTGCAGGGCCACGCGGCGGCGGCGGAGCGGCAGCGGCGGCGCGGCGGCGGGGTGCGGGGGCGCTGCTGTTGGAGCGCTCTGAGCCGCGGGTGGGGCGCCAGCTGGAGCTGCTGAGAAGCTGCAAGAGGGTGCTGATCGCAATGGAGGTGGGCACACACCTAGATGATAAGGAACACACCATATTCTCCCACCTAGGGCCCAACGAGTTGACCAAAGCAGCGACACTGCTTTTATGTAAGCATCAATCTGCCCCTCGTCCACATGGCCAGGGCTCTTCATCCCTGCTTGCTGGCCCAAAATCCTTCCCCCAGCTCCTTGCGCCGATCACTGCACCCAGCCGTTCCATCCGTGTGCTAACGCCGCTACGTAACCCGCAGGTGGCATCACTAATTGATGACGAGATGCTGACAGAGGAAGCCGCCCTCACCGCCCACAACCTGCTCGCGCCGCTCCTCGCTCGCCCCGAGCCGCCCGCCCTCCTGCGCCAGCCGCTCGCGGGGCTGCACCTCGGCCTGTCGCGCGTCGTGAAGCTGCGCGCGGCGCGGCAGGAGGGGCAGGGCGCGCAGCGCGTGGCTGCGGCGAGGGCGGCGGCCGCGACGGCGTGCCACCTCCTGAGGCTGTTGTCGGGGCCAGCCGGGGGCCGCGGCGGGGTTTGGGGCCAGGCGGGGGCGGGGAGCGCCGCGGAAGGCGGAGGGGCGCAGGCAGGGGGGCTTGAGAGGCACCTGGCGGCCCTAGACTTCGATTTGCTGAGGGCGCTCGGCTCGCGCCCGGCGTCGGCTGGCCTCGCCGCCGCTGGCGTGGCGGACGACGGCACCAGCGCGGCGGCCGGTGCCGCGGCGATGGTGGCTGCGGCGCCGGCGGTTGAAGGCGGGAAGGGCGGCAAGACGAGCAAGCCGCCCACGGGCAAGGCCAAGCGGGGGGAGTCGCCGGCAAAGGGGAAGGTTGGGGCAGTATCAGAGGAGGGCGATGCCTTGGGCGCGGCAGGGGCTGGCAGCGCTGGGAACGCACCTGGGGGGGCTGCTGCCGCGCAGGGCGGCGAGTGTGACGACATCGGCGGCAAGGAGTGCGGCGCCGCGGCGCTGTCAGGGCCGGGGGGCTGCGAGGGGGCGCCGGAGCTGGAGCTTTCAAAGGCGGCGGTGCTGGCGCACCCTGCGGGGCGGGCGCTGGGGGGCCCCGTCATGGAGAGGTGGGTGGGCGCGGGTGCAGCCGACCGGGCGCGGGCCGATCCCTTTGCATCGATCTGAGCGAGTGCGCGCACGTGTGGACGTCGCACCTGTCGGCACCGCTGTCACAAGACCCGGACTAAACCCCAGACCCTGGCTGGGCCCTCGAACCTCAAACGGCAAGCCCCAAACTCGACACCCCTCACTTATGGTCTCCACTGCCGCCCACCAGGCTGAATGACCCCTCAGATCTGGAGGCGGCAGTGCTGCCCCACCTCAACGACCCAGATCCCCTGGCTTCTTGCTGGCCCATCCTGTCAGCAGACGGCGCCGCCTCCCACCCCCTCTGGCTGCCGCTCGGCGTGCGGACGCTCGACGCCGCCGCCGCGCGCGGCCGCGCCGCGCGGCGCGACCCGCGGCTGGCGGAAGCCGCCGAGCAGCTGCTGCGGCACGCGCGGATGGCTGCGCGCGTGCCGCGGACGGGGGAGTGGGAGGCGTGGAGCCTGTGCTCCGCGGCCGGCGCGGCGGCGCAGGCGGACCCGACGGCGGCGCCCGAGGACTGCCGGCGCGTCGCCGCGGCGCAGCTGCTGCAGCGGCGGCTGCCGGTGCTGCTGCGGCGCCTGCGGCACATGCGGGCGGTGCGCGAGCAGGCCGGGCGGTGGGCGCCGTGGCTGGCGCGGCTGCACACGTTGTTGGGCTATGTGGCGGCCGAGACGGCCATGGAGCACGTCCGTGCGGCAAACAGCGCGGGGGGCAGCTACGCGGCAGCTGCTGCCGGCATCGACAGCAGCCAGCCAGTCGAGGGCGGGAGCACTACGAGGCGCTCCGCGCCCTCCAAAAAGGCGCCAGCGGCCAAAGCGCCCGGCAAGGCAGCGGCAGCCCCAGCCGCCGCGGCCGCGGCGGCCCCCGCAGAGGCCCCCGACGCGGCGGCAGCCGCGGCGGGGGCCGCTTCCAGCGCGGAGGCGCTGCGCTGCTTCTCGCGCGCGGCGGTGGTGGCGTCGCGCGGCGGGCCGCAGGGCGCAGCGTGGCCAGAGATGTGCAACGCGCTGCGCGCTCTCTGGAGCGCGTGCCGGCCGCTGCTGAACGCGCTGCCGCAGCTGTCCTGCGCGCCGGCGGCCGCGGCTGCGGCGTGGGAGCTGCGGCCGCTGCCACCTCCCAGGAATCCGCCCTTGGGGCTCTTAAGCTTGCAGCCTGCCCCCGCACAGGCTGACGGCGGGGCGCCCGCGGGCAAAGGCGGGGCCAAGGCCGGCGGTGACAAGGCGGCCCTCGCTCACAACGCAAGCAGCGCCGCGAGCGGCGGCGCTGCGGCGGGCTCGTCCAAGGGTCAGAAGCAGGGGCCGGGCGCCAAAGGCGGCGGCGGCGGCCCTGGGGCCGCGGCGGACGCCGTCCGGCTCGTGCCGACGCCCGTGACGCGGCGCCCCGCGCCGTGCGCGGCGCCTGCGGTGTTGGCGGCCGCGGACGCGCTGCTGGCCGTCGTGGCGCGGCTGCGGGCCGGGGAAGAGCACTGTCCTGGGGTCGCGCCGCTCCCCAAGCCGGCGGCCGCGCCGCCCGCCGAGCGGCAGCGGCAGCAGCGGGGCGAGCAGCAGGACGAAGATCAGCGGCAGCAGCAAGACCAGCGGGGGCGGTCGGAGCAGGGGGCCCGGCAGACCGAGTTCAGCTTCGGGTCGGACGCGCTGACTGTGCGTTGGTACGAGGGCGGCCCGGTCGACGTGCCGTGGCTGGGGTGCGTGGTGCTGGCGCTGGCGGCGGCGCTGCGGCGCAGCGAGAGCTGGCACGCGGTCATGAGCATAGGTGATGCCCTGTTATTGGCCAGGCTGACAGGGGAGGCTCTGGGCGCTTCAGGGGGCTTCGGTGCATGAGGGCTGGCTGTTTGCAGCCAATAGTGATCGGGCTTGCCGTCAATCCCGAAACAATTAAACCGCGCCGCGCCGTAGGGCGCCGCTGGCTGGAGTTGACCGACGGCCAGGGCGCGGAGGCGCTGCTGCCGCTCCTGCTGGAGGCCGCGCCCCTCGCGGGCGCCGACCCCGCGCCGGTCGCCGCGGCGCTGGACGCGGTGGTGCGCGACAAGAGCCAGACGGCCGACGGCCTCGACAGGGTGCGGCAGGCTTGATGCTGCCGCGCATGCTGGGGCTGTTAGTAGTGCAGGGGACGGTTGCGACCTACTGACCCGCATTGAACGTGGCTACCTAGACTTTGAATTGATGGGACCCAGGGCCTTACTGAAGGCGCCTTTGATGCTGGATACCCGGTTCCGCTGATGACGTCCATGACACTGCCAAACCTGATTTGACTGATTACATCAATTGCAGGTCCGCGCCTTGGTGCGCGAGCGCCTGGGCGAGGCGCCGCTGCTCTCGCAGGGCACGGCGGCCAGGCGCCGCCGCCGCCAGCGCAACGCGCCGCCGCAGCCGCGCAGGACGCTCGTCGGCCCCGGCGGCGCCAGCGCGCGGGCCGTCGGCACCGCGGACGACGCGGAGAGCACCCTCAGCGGCGCACCCGGCCTGCTGGCGCGCCGGCCGTCCCGCGCGCCGACGGGCGCGCTGCCGCCGCTGACTGGGCGGGGAGCGGCGGGGGCGTCGGTCGCGTCGCTGCTACTGGGGGGCGGGAGCGGCGCTGGTGGGGGGCTGAGGAGTGTGGTGTCGCAGCCAGATCACGTCAGGCTGCCTGAGGAGTACGGCAAGGTGTGTTGGGGTGTGTGTGTGTGTGCATGCGCACATGCATGTGTGTGTGTGTATGTGTGTGTGTGTGTGCGCGCGTGTGTGCGTGTGTGTGTGTGTGTGTGCGCGTGTCCATGTTTAGCTGCGTGATGGGTCCACCGATGGGGGCGGGCATTGACAGGCATCGCAGCTGTGCGGCAGCCGCATGCGCCCTGCACCGTGGAGCAACCCCTTGATCATTCGTGCGTTGTCGCCAGGTGATCGAGGCGCTGCGGCTGCGGGAGGAGAAGCCGGCAATGGCCTTGGCCCTGAATGAGGTGTGTGTGTGTGTGGGGGGGAGGGTCAAACAGGCGGCCTAGTGGGGTGGCGGGTGGGTGGGACTTGATGGTGGGAGGCACAGCTCCGCTTGCTACAGCTCCGCGCCATCCTCGTGCGTCGTGGGCAGGCGCGACTGCTTGCGGCTCGGTAGCTGCAGGTCCCTTTAAGGTCGGATCGACCTCCACTCGATTTGGGGAACAGGATTCTGCTTGCTTGCTTGCACACAGCACGCACGCAGGTGCACGTGCGCGGCACCTCAACACACACACACACACACACACACACACACACACACACACACACACACACACACACACACATACACTCGCGCGCAAGCCGGCACGCATACAATGACTTACTACTGAGCCACTCACTCCCACCCACTCGCGCGCTCCAACACAGCTGGGTGACGTGTACGCCCACTTTGGGATGTGGGACAAGGCGGCTGCCTCATGGTCTGACGCCCTGGACACCCTGCTGGGGCCCTACCAGGTGGGGAAGAGGGTTGGCGATTGAAGGGTGACACGGGGAGCGACTTGATGGGCCTTCCCTGGAAAGGTGGATATTACGAAGCCAGGGTGGCATCCCACAAGCGGTGCCGCTGGGTGCACTGCTGCACGCGTTTTCTTGCCCATTATTAGCGCACCTGTTGGCAATATAAACATAATACTATTACCAAGGTCCTCTTGCTAACTAGATGATGCTGCCCTCACCCCTGCGCCCGGCCGCAGGTCGTCTCCTGCTGGCGCGACTCGCTGGAGCAGCTCCCCGCCGAGCAGCTGCTGCGCAGCTACGGCGCCCACGGCCTCCTGCTCGCCGGCGGCGTCCTCTGCGGGAAGCTCCTGCGGTTCGCATACTCCCACGGGGACCTCGGGCGGCGCGCGAGCGCCGCGCGCCTGGCGGCGCACCTGCTGGCAGCGGTCTTCTGCTGCGACGCGGCGCACCCGCAGCGGGCGGCGGGGTTCGCGCTGCACGCGCCAGTGGAGCTGTGGCCGGGGGCGGACCTGTTTGGGGGAAACGATGCGTACAGGTGGGGCGGTCCTGTGCGCTGGCCAACACAAGCACCGCGCATCGAGCACCGGGAAGGGTCAGGGCACCACATTCGAAGACGCTGGCCCCACCGTCAGTCTGTGTCAACCTCTCGCATCGTCTCCTGCTGAAGACGAGCCAAGCGTGCGCAAGCGTTTCTAAACCACCTGCATTTGCCCCTTCAACTGCCAGGTGCAACGTATCCGACGTGGCCGCCGGCCTCGAGGCGGCCTCCACCGCCCTGCTTGACCACGGATTCCCCCTGGAGGCCCTCCCCGTGATTTGCTTATGGGAGCACGCCGCCCGCCACGTCACCCGCCAGCTGGCGACGACGGCCCTGGCCCGCGCCGCGCGCACCCGCGCGCTGTGCGCGCTGGGCATGCTGGGCGACGCGGCGCGCGTGCTGTGGGGGCTGATGGCGGCGCACGACATGCCGGACGGGCCCCTGCCGTGGCCCAAGGTGCTGACTCAGCACGGCCAGCAGGAGCAGCAGCAGCAGCAACACCACCAGCAAGCAGGCGGCAAGGCCGGCGGCGGCGGCGGCGGCGGCGGCGCCGCGCACAAGGCCCACGGACACGGCCAGGGCCAGCAGGGCCAGCAGCAGCAGCAGGGGGAGGCGGCGCCGGCGCAGCCGCCGCCATACGACGCAAGCACGTGGCCCGGGGCGCCGCAGAACCGGCGGTGTGTCGTGGTGATGTCATCGGGCCGGCTGCACCCGCCGGTGGAGGCGTGCTATGGGCCCTGGGCGGCCGCGGCGGTCGAGCGGGCGACGGCGGCGTGGCTCATGGCCGCCGGCGGGACGCGCAACCACTGGCGCAGCTGCGACCCGGCGACAGGAGCCGCGGCAGGCCCCGCTGTCCCGCCGCACGGCCCGGCCGCGGCGGCTGGCAAGACGGCTGCGGCCGCGGCCGCGGCCGCGGCTGCTGCGGCGTCGGCCGCTGGGGAGGCGGGCGCGGGCGCGGCGGGGCCGCTGCCGCCACACATGTGTGAGGCGATTGAGGAGTCCCTGTTGGACGCGGCGGCCACCCTGCTGAGAAGCTGTGCGGCAGCTTCCATGCAGGCGCTGCAGTCGTGCGTCACGGCTGCGTCGGCCGGAGCGGCGGCTGCGGACGGCGCAGGCAGCGCGGGGGGGTCGGCGGCGGCGACAATGCGGCCGTCGAGCGGGCTGCGGCCGGGCACAGCTGGGAGCACGCGCAACGCGGCCGCTGCAGAGCGGCCGGGGACTGCATCCAGTGGCCGGGAAGGTGGCGGGAAGCTGGCGACCCAGCGTGAGGGGGAGGAGACGCTCCTGCAACTGCCGCTGCAGCCGACGCAATCTGGCAAGCTCGTCGGAAGCAGCGACCAGATTGCGGCAGGGACCCATCGCGCTGCGACCGCGCGCAGCGACGCTCACGCGACGGTGTCGGGGCCGCGGCAGCAGCAGGGGGCGAGCGACTTGGCAGCCCACTGCCACGCGGCTGTGGCCGCGCTGCTGCAGCTGTCAGAAGCGGAGGCGCTGCGCTGGGCGCCTGCCGCGGGGCTGGATGCGGCGCTCAGCGCCGCGCGGGCGGCGCGGGAACACGGCGGGGCCGCCGCGGCGGCGCTGGCCGCGGCGGGGGGCGAGGACGCGGGGCGGCTCGCGCTGGGTCCCCACCTGTGGCTGCGGATCCGCCTGCAGGTGGGTGTGTTACGCCGTCATTGCAGCCGCGCAGGCGCAGGCCCCGCTTGGCCGGCGCCCCAGCACTACAAGGGGCCATTGATTCCAGCTGCCTGCCCCTCGCCCCCCTCCTTTGCCTCGCTATCTGGCTCCCTTGTTCTGGGAACAACGACCCAGGGCCTAACTCGCAGCTGACTGCAGCGATGGGATCTCTCACGCAACCTGTTTTGACTCGTTCTCAATTCAGTGTGAAACTCTCACCTAACCTAGGTGCAGCCTCTGGCCCAACTGAGTCGGAGCCTTCCACCCATCTCAGTGTGGTCCTCTCACCCATGAAACTCAGTCACCAAACTCATAACCAAGCAACCAATGCACCCATCGCCCCAGGTCGTGAGGCTCCTGCAGCAGCTGCAGCACCACCCCTCAGCCATCAAGGAGGCGGCCGCCGCCCTCCAGGAGTGCGCTGCTGCCGGGGAGGACCTCATCGCCGCGGAGCTCCTGCACCTGCAGGCCGGATCCCACGCTGCCCTGGGCGCGGACGCCGTGGCGCTGGGATGCTACAGGGACGCGGCGCAGCGGTATGCTCGGCTAGGGACCAAGGGGGAGCGCGTGTGGCGGCTTCGGTCGGACCTGGCCGGCGCGCGGGGCCGCCTGGGGCTGCGGGCGGCCGCGGGGGAGGAGGGGGCGGCGGCGCTGGAAGTGCTGAGGCGGCAGGTGCACGAGCTGGGGCTGGCGGAAATGGTGGTGAGCTGGAGGGGGGCGCGCGTGAGCTGCGGTTGCGCTCAAGGCACGCGGCGCGCTGCCTGGTTTGAATAGACTGTGCCTGCACTCACCTGTGTCACTCCAGGACATCAGAAACTTCATTGCAGCATTCTGAAAGTTATTCAATGTAGCACCCCTGGGAGTTGGGTTGTATGAACTGCAACTGCAACTGCAACAGCACAACCGCCTGCTGAACCGCCAGGAGCATCCGGAAAAGCTCTGCATCTCCCTCTCCGGCACGGCCGATTACGTGGGAGCACTCCTGCACTCGGCGCGCGCCGCCGCCGCTCACCGCCGCCTGGACGACGCGGAGGGCGCCCTGCGCGCCGCGGCGGCGCTGCTGCCACGCGCGCGGTGCGCGCCGCCGCTGCACGCGGCCGTGTGGCGGGAGCTCGCGAGGACGCTGCGGCTGGCCGCGGCGGCGGGGGCACCGCGCTCCGCGGCCGCGGGAGCCGCGGGTGACGCGGGGGCCCTCGCGGCGCGCGTGCGCGGCGCGGGCCCGGCAGGGGCGCTGGTGGGGGCAGCGGCGGGGGCGGCGGTCAGCAGGGCTCAGCTTGCAGCTGAGAGGCTGTGTGATGCGCGCGAGTGCCTGTGCAGGGCCATCGGTATCCTCGCATTCGATGGCGCCTCTCAGAACTTCCAGATACGCACCTGCCTGCTGGAGCTGGCAGCCTGCTCCATCGCCGCCGGCGCGCCCGGCGCGGCGGCGGCCGCCCTGAAGCTCGCGCACTCTGCGGCGCGCAAGCACCGGGCGCTGCAGCTTGCGGCGGCGCAGCTCGCGCCCGGGGCGGCGGCGCCGCTGCCGCGGTGGCTGGTGGCGCAGATCCAGGGGCAGGAGGCGTATGCGGCCCAGCAGCAGTCACTGCAGCAGCCACAGCAGCAGCAGCAGCAGCAGCAGCAGCAGCAGCAGCAGACGGGCGGCCAAGGAGCTGCAAAGGGCGGAGAGCCCGCTGCTTCGTCCGCTGCCGAGCCTGCAGAGCCCTTGGTGGTGCGCCTGGCGCTCAGCCACCTCGCGCGGCTGCAATCCGGCCAGGCCGGCGCCGCGGGCGGCGCGGACGCGGCGCGGTGCGAGGCGCAGCTACTCGCCGTGGCGCCGCCCCTGCGGCAGGCGTGCCCGAGGCTGGCGGCCGAGTGCGGCTGGGGCGAGGCCCCGCTCCCGCCGGCAGACGCGAGGGAGCCGCCGGCAGGTGGGTGCCACTGCCCTCATGCATTTGCTGACCTTGTTGAGGGCCCTGGGTCTGCGAGAATGGTCATGCCACCTCACCAAACATACCGTGTCTCCTCAGAATAACTGCCTGTATCCTGTGTGCCTGCACGCGTGCTGATGCACACGTCCTCCCTGGTGGTGCGTGACCAACAAACAGGGGCGCTGGTTGCTGAGTGGTACCTGCAGGACGGCGGCTGGCAGTACGGCGGGGACGGTCGCAGTGGCGCAGGCACTGGCAGCAGCACGCAGCTCGGCGATCCCTTGTCTCAGGCAGACGTCCTGGCGCTGCCCCAGCCGCCTGAGAAGGCGTCCCTACTGTTTGTGATAGGACCGCGGCAGCAGCAGGACGTCGGCGGGGCGGCGGCGCCGCTTGCTGGGGCGGCAGCCGAGGCAGGGGAGGTGGTGCTCGATCCGGCTGCTGTGCGCAGGCTGCAGTGCAAGGTGAGCGGTTTGCCCAGCCGGTGTGCTGTGTGCGCCGGTGGCACGCGCTGCATTTGCGCAGGTATCTTTTTTTGGCCGCGCGCATCGTCGGATTCCTTTTCTGGGTCGGGTGGACGTTCCCTGATAACGATTGAGAAGCGCAAACTGCATCATGACCACCGTGGTGCGTGGCCGCCCAGTCAGACACAAGTGGAGGACAGAAGGGCTCCATGCAGCGCCTGGCAAAGGATCCGTTTGCAAAGTTGATTGAGAAGCTCAGGGCCTAGTACAAAACGACAATATCTCAATATGAATCTGCCCCTGGCCGTCCCGACTTTCTCAGGTGACGGAGCTGTGCGTGCGGCTGGAGCGGCCGGGTGCTGCAACCGACCTCTTCCTGCAGCCCGCGCCCGGCGAGGCTGAGCTTGCGGCGACGAAGCACCTGGTCGAGCAGACGCTGGCGGGGGTGCCCGAGGAGGACATGCCGCCGCCACCCACAAAGCTGCCGGACGCCCCGGTGCCAGCGCCAGCGGGTGGGGCAGTTGCGTCGGCGCCGGCAGCGGGGGCAAAGGGGCCCGCGGCTGCGGCAAGCGCGGCCAAGGCGGCGGCGCCTGTGCCGGCGGCTGCGGCGGTGGCGCCGGCCGGGGGCGCGGCCGGGGGCGCCAGCAAGGGGTCCCAGCCTCAGCAGGCGCAGCAGGGCGGCGCGGGCAGCCAGCAGGGTGGCGGGGGCGGGGCGGCCGCGCTGGACTGGCGGGCGCCCGCGACCTGGTCTCGGCTGGCGGCGCTGCTGGACATGGAGTGCGGGTTTGACGGCCAGGATCCTGGCCTTGGTGCGTGGCTGGCGGAGCTGTTGGCAACGCGCCGGGGCAAGCGGCGGCTGTCATGAACGTGCGTAGGAGTCACGACTGCCTGGGCCTCGGGGGTTGTAACGGCTTGACCATGCAATCAAAGACTGGTGGTTAGGTGCCTGTGCTCTGCAGCAAGAAATTTTTGTTCTTGATGCGATAGAAGCAGCAAGGCAGGAAGAGGCATAGGGTGCGCAGCGTCGAGCGCTTGGCATCTAGGAGATGCCGCTGATGGCGGGGAAAGGACAGCGGCCGGTGCGACTTGGGGACAGTCCAGGGCATTACACAATCTCGGCCATGTTTTGACAATCATACTGCAAGGAATACGACAGTTCTTTAAGCCTGCACACCTAAGAACCTCCCGGCTAAGATCACACTCCACACGTCAACCAGAGCCATGGCCGAATATATAAAAGCAGCAAATGATTATTTCGGCCCGAATGCGGTGGACACTGCAAAGACAGTCGGAGCGCTGTGTGAGAAAAGTTTCCGCGAGTCCAGGGGCTCAATGAGGGCAGCGCAGGACAGTGTGGATAATTAATCCCCTCGTAGCTCCTCATAATGCGACCAGAAGCGGCGGCGCTGGCATCCATGAAACCCGCAAGCCCGCCATTGCCTCGGAGGAAGCGCGCGCTGCCGCATGTGCTTGCAGCGGCGGCAACAATTGAGCCCGCATGGGGCCGCGTGACACCCGCGCATGCAATAATTGTCCCTTACTGATGTTGCATGCAGGTGCGGCATGGGCGTCGCTGGAGCTGATCAGCTATGTCCTCATCCGCCCCTACTTTTTGCTGCTGCTGGAGAACAACCCAAAGCTGGCGGGCGACAAGAGGCGCAAGGGGGAAACGGCGACACAGATGCTGCCTCGGGTCGTGTGTTTCTTGCACAATGTACTACAGGTGCGGCCGCTGCATGACAAATGAGTGTCAATTGGGTGGTGAACGAATAGATAGCACGTGGAAAAGTGTGTGTTTCAGAGCGACCAAGTGCAGGGCCCCCTGACATAGCAAGAAGCTCCAAACAGCGAAATCTGGCAGCTGCCGCTATCATGCGTCGGCGGCGGCAGCAGCGCTACGCGGCGCAAAGTTCTTGCCAGCACGCCCACCCATATGGTACCCTCCTTGCACACGCGACACGCACCGCCGTAGATCCCCCTGGCCCTGATGCTGCTGACTAACCCGGCCTTCCACAGCGGCGCGAACCGCATGCTAGCCAGCAGCGAGTTCAGCACCCTGGTCATGGCCATCAGCGCGGGTGAGGGGCCGGGCCGTGCCGGCCGCGAGAGCAGGACGGCAGCTGTAGCTTTGCCTGTGTACCCCCTTGCAATGCGATGCGACCTGCGGGTGTGCCCACTCCTGGCCGTTTTGCTGCGCCGGCAAAATTATTCAGGATGTTGTTATGTAGATCCACATCGCAAGATTGAATCTTGCGCAGCTGAAGCCTCAAAGCATAATTGCACCCGTGAATTGCTCACAACCCCTGGGAAACCCCCAGTCGATCAACCGGCTCTTACTACTCTCACTGCTGCGGCACCTCGCCGGGCCTTCTCGCCCATCATGTGCAAACGACCCCTCCCCTTCTCACCCACGTCCACCCCCACCCCCTTACCCCAATCAGGATACTTTGCATACGACACTGTGGAGTGCATAGTGCGCTTTGAGCACGAGGGGCCAGAGTTCCTGATGCACGGGGTGTTCTGCTTCGTAGTGTTCACCTCCCTCACCTACTGCAAGAGGATGCACTTCTTTGGGTGGGTGGTGAATGGCGCGGACTTAGTGGGATGGGAATGGGGAAGGGAGAGCGGTCTGCAGCTGGCAGACAAAGGGATGCTAGGTGCATCAGAACTGTTATTGGCTCAAGGGGAGCACATGTTTAGGGCGCCGGGGAACAAGGGCAGGAAGCGAATAGATATGACGGGTGCTAGAGGGGGCGGACGTTCGGAAGCTGCCCAGCAGGCGGTGTTTTGTACTTCAGCGGTCGTGGATTGGCATGGCCTCACGGGCAATCCCCTGATCCCCCAGGAGATCGCATCTGCGCTGCCCCGCCCTGCGAGCAGACGCATGGTTGCGCCCTGACAACCACCCACCCCATCTGTCACGCCCCCCGCGCGCCCCCCTCAGCGCGGGATTCCTGATGTGGGAGCTGTCCACGCCCTTCATGCACTTCAGGCGCGCGGGCTTGGCACATGATTCCTTGTGCTGGGAGTCAGCACGTGCAGTCGACAGTCTGCGATTCGTCCTTCCGGGGCTGTGTTTTGCTCCTCTCTCCCCCCATTTAAATTTGGTGCACGATCCCCTTCTGTCCGCTGCTGTGCTCTAAACGCACGCACACACAAGCACGTGTGTGCAGCCCCCCCTTGTAGTATCACATTCACACAAACTTTCAAACACACACACACACACACATCCAAACCAACACACACACACACCTGCACACACACACACAATTACACACACACAAGCACACGCACACGAACACACACACACACAACCTCGTCACCAGGTGGGTGCTGTACAAGATTGCGCGGGACAAGTCGCCGGTCTACCTCCTCAACGGAATCCTGGGGCTGTTCACCTTCTTCCTCTGCCGCATCTGCTGGGGGCCCGTGCTGAGCCTGCTCTTCTGGAAGGTGCGCACACACGAGCTTGAGGGCGACCTGAGGCCGCGGGACGCAGACGCTGCCTGCACAGCTCGTTCGGCGCGCATGGTTGTGTGGATAGTCAGTGCATGGGCCTGCCTCTCAACGCTGGCGTTGGTAGCGCGTGTACATGCTGTCCATCCTTACTGGACTCTGTTTTCGACTCAGGCTAGCATGGGTTGTAAATCCGCTATTAGACTCTGGCTTGTGAGCCCCAGCTCATCCTCGTCAACCCCACATGCCCTCCCCCACGCCCCCACAGGACTCTATCCAAATGCTGTCCGGCCCCGAGGCCGCCCTGCTGTCCATCCCCCTGGTCTGGCTGTACCGCGCCTGCACCGGCATCATGAACGGCCTCAACCTGTGGTGGTTCCAGAAGATGGTGAAGCTCGCGCTGGACGCCGCATTCCCGTCGAAGCAGAAGCAGGCAAAGGCGGCGTGAGGCGCCGCGCCGCAGGCTCGGGCGGGTCGACGTCGCGCCCGGTGGGCAGCCTTGTCCCGCGGCGGGGCTGGTGCGTTCCTTGGCGTACGTGGGGGTTGCCAATGGTGCGGAACAATGTTCATGTGCATGTTCGTGTACGTATGTGTGAATGTCTGGGTGTATGATTTTGCCAGGCAGCGTCACAGCCCGCAGCTTTCCACCTCTGTTGTGCAGAGTAGACCTGCCGCACAACCCTTTCCTTCCAGGCACGTTGCCTTTGTGCACGCCTCATTTATACCCAAAGTTTGTGTTCTGGAGGAGGTTTTGGTGTGCTAGACACGTGCATGCAACTCTTGATCACAGAAAACAGCTGCAGCCTGCTATGCTGCTTGCCTCGTTTCCGGGGCACCTGCACCAATCCACAATCTCGGAGCTCTGATGACCCTGTGACGTGTCTTACTGACTGCAGCTGCTTGACACATGGCGCGAGCTTGTGTAAACCAAGACGGAGACGGTTCCTTGGACGTATCCTGAAATTTGGTCACTGCGGCGGCTGGGAGCGGCTGCTGCGCCACGAGTGTTGAGGTGCGTAATGCCAGCCAATACGCGACTTGACACCGCCTGCTGCAACCGGGTCTACTACCAGGCATACCTTACCTTTGAGGGGTCACTTTGTCAACACAAAAAGCGGTAGTCAAGGTGAAAAGATTTGATTTGGACTTGCATACCAATGGGGTTATTTGACCCAAATTTGGTGACAAGGTGCCCAGCCCAAAGCAAATCCTCAACTTGGCACACGCAAGCACCTCGTCCGCGGACTCTTTGACCCTCAAGGATTGCAGAGAATGATAGCAGTCAAAAAGATTGCTGACATCTAGGGCTGACGTCTTGTGAATCAGGCGCACGGTCCCCTGCCTCACCTGCTGGTCACCCTGCGAGTGATGACACTGCGCAACGCTGGACTCACATCAATCGGCTCCATCTGTGGCTGTATGAGTGTTTATGTAGCCTTCTTCATACTTTCTTTGCCTCTGCAGGAGCGGACACCGCCTCTGCAGCTCATGGCAGAGCGATCAGGATCCATGCAAACGCGGTTGTTCGTTTTCGCACCATCCTCAATTGCGAATAGTTATCATAACAGAGGACTCAAAAATCCGGTTTCGACGGTGCTGGCGCTGGCACTGCTCCTGCCGGCGCTCATGCCGTCAACACTTTGCGCCAACCCCGGCGGTGATGCAGCAAGCATCGCGACAGGCCTTCCAGACTTCACCGGCCCGGGTCCCTGCGCCGTCGCCGCCGACACGGGCATCCCCGTCACGCTGCCACCTTCTTCTGGCTGCGGCGACGACTGCTTCCTGGAGATGCACCTGACCGCCCCGTCCGCGCCCAGCCAGCGCTCGGCCGCAAACGCCTGCCCCTTTGCGGCCCCTTATCCTGTTCTCTTCTTGTACCCCGGCTTCCAGCTTCGCGCCAGCTTCTATGGGGGCTACGCCGAGCGGCTGGCTAGCTGGGGGTTGGCTGTCGTGCGGTACGACACCAGGTTGCTGGACTTTGTGCCCGCGGGCGTGCAGGTGACACAGGGCGCAGCCGTGAGCGCGCGCGTCTGTTGGCGGCGCCGGCGCCGCGGCGCATGGCGCGGTGCGCCCCAACGCGCAGGGCTCTATTGGGCGTCTGCATGCCTTTGCGGCCTTACGGGTGTGCGCGTCAACATCTCCCTCCTGTCCTTGTCACCCTGCTCCCTTGTTCTGAAATCACCTCACCTCCGGCCCGAAAACCGACCGCCAACCCCAGACGGGCTATGTCACCCACCTCCTTGAGGCCCTGGCGGCCATCAACTCTGACCCGAGCAGCCAATGGCACCAGCGCCTCGACTTGTCGCGCCTCGGCGCAGCGGGACACAGGTGCGGGCGGCCGCGATCACGTCGGGGGCGCTCGGACGGGGCGCGCTTGCGAGCGGCGAGAGGGGCGTAGCCTTGCGTGCCGGCGGCATTTCATTCCCGCGGAGTGGCGATGTGCATCAGCACATGGACTTTGACAGGCGAGGCGTGCTCATCGCGCCGTCATTGATGGGCATGAAATCGTGTACACCTGCTGTCCCTCGTCGCCACGCAGCCGCGGCGGCAAGCTGGCCGCCCTGCACCTCGCGTCGCGGACGCCGCCCCTGTTCACCACCGCGTACCTGATTGATCCCGTCGACAGCCACGGCGGCGAGGACGACCCGTCCGCCGTTGAAGCGCTGCGCGGCCGCGGGCAGCGCTTTGGCATCGCGGGTGCGCTTGGCGTCGGGTCGGAAGGGGGCGGCCGCCGCAGCCGCGGCTGCAGGCGCGCGGGGCTCGGTTACAGCTGCTGAAGACGTGGCCGCGTGCGCATGGACGAGCCACGGCTTCCCACCTTCCGCCTCATACTGCACCATCAAATGGCGCGTGGCGGAAGTTGCCAATGCCCTCGTCAGCACGTACGCGCCCCTTCCCCACACCCCACTTTTAAACCTGCAAACCTCCAACTGCCAACTCCCGACCCCCAGCCGCTGGCGTCGTGGGCCCCTGCAACCCCAAGGACCGCACCCGCGGCTTCTGGCAGGTAGCGGGCCCCGGCTCCTGGCGCGAGACGGTGCTGCGCGGCGGCCACGCCCAGTTCTGCAACATATCCAACTGGCTGGTGGAGCACGCCTTGGACGCGCTGTGCGGCCGTGGGAACGACACTCACCAGGCAGGTGCCGCGTTGACAGTTGCTGGTCACATCACGTGCGCGCTTGCAGTGGACAGACCCCTGGGGTGTCCTTTACAGTGGCTGAGTGAGTGTTTTTTGACTAATTTTACTTTTTCTTCATCCACACTTTATCTCCGGTGTGTGATCCAGGTGGAGGGGCGCTCAACCGGTCTGTGGGTCGGCGCACTGGGGCTGCCTGCTGTGAGCTGCTTGCGCGGCTGTCATGCCAACGCCGCGCTCACGCTGTCGTCCTGCAATCCCACGCTTGGCCCCGCTCGACAGGCTGTGGTGCAGCTGACGCTGCCACCCATGACCGCATGGCTGCACCAGGCTTTGGGAGCTCGCGGAGAGCCGCAGCGGCAGCCCCTGCCGCTCCAGGAGCCGCCATACTGGGGCGCAAGGCAGCTGTGGCGGCTGCTCAGGACGCGGCTCTCGCCGCCCGATGCTGCGCCGCGGCCGCTGCTTCGAGAGGGTGGGGCTGTGGTGCGCCGCACCTTGAGCAGTGCCGGCAGTTTGGACGGCCCGTTTTGGGACTGGGTTCAGACAGAGGAGCAGCTTGGGGAGATCACGTTTGATGTCAAGGAGTAATCAACGAATCCTGGTTGGTGGAGCTTATCATCCACATCACTGCTGGTGCAATCAAGTGTGAAGCCGCTGGAGGGGCCAGCTCGCCCCCGGCTGCTGCCACGCCGGTACGGGCCGGCTGGGCGCTACTAGCATAATTCGTGTCATCCTGGATCTTTTGCCGCATGCACCAGTGCATGCACTTGCAATCGCGATGCCCTTGAAACATACCAAACTCTAGGAATTCAGCTGTTGCACGTTGTGTGTCCCTTTGACAACAGGCAGCGACCCTCAAGAGGTGTGGTTAATTGATTGGTGCAGGTATCATGAGCACATGTATGGGCAATTGATCTCTCTTCGGGTCCAGTAGCAAATGTGTCTGCTGCCAGCGCAGCACCATGCATCCCTGCACGCATGTACTGCCACGTCCTCGCGGCACATCAGCCGCGCTCACCAGGCGTTTTGACTGCCGTGGTGCCTCATGTAGCGGCCCCATTACCAGCCTTCTGTCAAGCTAATATTTGCGCAAAGTGAACGTAACCGTGTTCAGAACCAGTGATCAAACTAGCCTTGCGCACCGAGATCTCACGAACGTGTTTCCAGTCTCTTAATTGTGTAACTGTGACGGTGAATTCTCTGGTGAAGGGGTAATGTCATCATCTGCCTTGCAAGTGGGCCGCAGCAGCGTCGCCCGGGGGGCCGCTGCAACACGTCGGGCCCGGCGGGTGCCTTGTGGAGCGCTCCCCGGCTTCTCTTCGTTGCCGCGGCTCGCGCTGCCCCAGCTGCAGTTGCCATGGCAGAAAAAGCAAGAAAACAAGCGCAGCCCCGTGCAGGCGCAGCGGGACGAGCTGATTGCGCTCCTTCTCAGCAGCAGCGACGACGGCATTGCCACCAGCCGGCAACAGCAGACGCGTGCGTCAGAGCTGGTGGATGCTCTGATTGACGCGGGGCTGCCCTTTGAGGAGCGGCTTCTGGGAGGAGGCCCCTGGGTCGTGGTCTACACAAGGGGATCGCCGCAGCTGTGAGCTTCGCCCTACTTGGCCCTGTGCCGCGCTGACAGGGCCCCACCCCGATTTAAAACCATCGCCCCGCTTGCGTCCCTGCACCGACTCCCCTGCCGAAAAGCATGGATCGCCAGTGACGCCAAGCCGTATCTCCCCCAACTTTGTGTTGGCATGTGGGCACGTCGCTGGCAGCTGGAAAGCCACGTGGCAGACCGGGAAGCTTCTCAGCGGGAACAGCGGCAACGAGGCCAGTCAGGCCTTCGACCCGGCAGATAGGAGCGCGCTCAACAAGGCTGAGTACTGGGGCGGGGCCGTTTTTGTCACCGCCGGGGGCAGCTACACTCCGCTGGTGGGCTTTGTTTTTT